CCTTTCTATAATCATTCTGTGAGGAAAGGACATTCTAATTGTGAGTATTTTTCCTTCTCTAAAACTTTATAACTTTATGTTAAATCTAATGTTTACTTTGTTGGCAAGTTGCTTTAAACTTATTCAACTATAAAATGTTAATTATTTTCTGAGCTCTTTAAATGTACAAGCCAATTCGGTTACCATGATAGTCACACTATAATAAGCATTTTCTTTCTGACAATAAGAAATTTAAGTATAGTGGATTTGTACAGTAATTTGGTTCTCTGCTAAAGAATGTCAAGGCAATTTTGGATTGTAGTTAAGCTTTAATTGACATTTGATGTAACAATGTAAGTCATTTCACAATGATGTATACTACAATATTTTCAAAATGAAACTTGTTAAAAATCAAGAACTTGCCAGTAATACGTACTTAAATAATAGGTTATATGTAAATTCAAAGCAATTTGAAATACAGTACATTCTGGTAAAGTCACACTTAGAGAATTGTATCTGCTGAAGTGGTATGATGATATAATTAGGAAAAGTATTTCAGAATGTGAAAATAGAGACAAAATATATTTCCATATCTCTGTAATATATGAAAATATTACTTTATTTCATGTTGTTGTTGTTGTTATGTGCCATCGAGTCAAACCTGACTCATAGCGACCCCTCCTTGGGTTTCCGAGGCAGTATCACTACGGAAGTAGAATTCCCCAACCTTCCTTCCGAGCAGTGGCTGGTGGGTTTGAACCGCCAGCCGTCTGGTTAGCAGGCAAGTGTCTTAGCCACTATGCTACCAGAGCTCCCATTTCATAGGCAAGTGTTTTCTAAATATTTAATCTGTTTTCTCTTTCCACTATCTTTGGTAAGCTGTGAAAATTACTTGACATAATGTTCATTAAACACCTTTTCAATTTAAAACTATGTGTGTACATTTTAAAATTCCATTTACATGAAATATCCAGAATAGCAAATTTATATATGTAGAGAGAGTAAAATAGTGGTTGTTAGGGGCTAGGGTAAGGGAAATGGAAGGCGGTGACTGCTAATGTGTAGTTTCTTTGTGGGGTGATGAAAATGTTCTGGAATTAGATAGTGATATTGTACAACTCTGTAAATATTCAAAATACTACTAAACTGTGTGCTTTAAAAGAGTGAATTTTGTGATGTGTAAATTATATCTCAATAAAACTGTTAAACTATATATGAAGACTTCACAGTATAAAATCCTTCATGTAGCCTAAAATTAAATGATAGATTCTTTTAAGAAATCAAGAAGGTACAATTTGTTGTTATTCAAATGCATTCTTTTAATTTTTTTGGTTCCAATGAATTCTGAGGAGAGAATTTTGGCTCAAAGAAGCCCCATCATGAAAAATCTTTTATATAATTATACCAGTATCATGTGTATATATATATTGCTAGTTATGTTTTAATGTACTACCTCTGGCTTTTTCTATATTATTTCTCAAGAGAACTCTCACTTAGCAAAGTCTAGATGTAAACAATATGAAATGCATTGTAAATTTCCAGTCTTGTGCAGTTATTTAATGTTATGTGAAGCTTTATGGTAAACACAATAATTTTTAAAGAGAGGTAAGAACACCTTCGTGTTCTCACATTCATTTGCCAATAGAGAAACTTTGAAAGATCTAAACAAAGTTATTGCTTAAATGCACATGAATTAAACCTATAGCATTCAGAGTTCTTTTCATACGGGCAGCCGACTGACCTGTTGTAATACAGGAAAAACAAAAGCAGGTACTGACTGGTCCCATTGATATTGTTGTTGTTATGTGCTGTTTAGTCCGTTCCAACTCACAGGGACCTTATGCACAACAGAAAAAAACACTGCCCTATCCCGTGCCATCCTCACAATTCTCGCTGTGTTTGAGCCCATTATTGCAGGCACTGTGTCCATCCAGTTGAGGCTCTTTCCCTTTCTTGCTGATCTTCTACTTCACCAAGCACGATGTCTTTCTTCAGGGACTGCTCCCTCCTGATAAGAAGTGTGTGAGACAAAGTCTTGCCATCTTCACTCCTAAGGAGCATTCTGCCTGTATTTCTTCCAAGACAGACTTGTTCATTCTTCTGGCAGTCTGTGGTGTATTCAATATTCTTTGCCAATACTATAATTCAAAGGCATCAATTATTCTTCAGTCTTCTTTATTCATTGTCCAGCTTTTGCATGCATATGAGGTGACTGAAAATACCATGGCTTAGGTCAGATGTCCTTCCTCAAGATCACATATTTGCTTTTGAAAACTTTAAACAGTTTTATTTTTTTTTGCAGCCAATTTGCCCAATGCAACACACCTTTTGATTTCTTGACTGCTGCTTCAATGTGCATTATTTGTGGATCAAAGTAAATGAAATCCTTGACAACTTCAGTCTTTTCTCCATTTATCATAACATTACTTATTGGTCCAGTTGTGAGAATATTTGTTGTTTTTATGTTGAGGTATAATCCACACTGAAGAGTATAATCTTTTATCTTCATCAGTAAGTACTCAAATCCTCTTCACTTTCACCTATTGATATTAGTCCTTTCTTTGTCAAGGGAAACTTCTCAATGAAGGTGCACTTATTTAAGAATACCACTTATGCATCATCTATTCTATCCAATACCCATTTCATAAGACTGCTGTTATCTTATCAGAAGAATGGAAGATAAAAGTGCTTTCAAAGGAACCTAATGGATGATAAAGGAGATGACTTTTAGAGATATTACTATTTGAATCATCTTCATGGATATAAAAACCTTAGCCATGAGCCTATCATATGAGTAATAAATAAAAGTTTTCTAATATAATCACAGAATTTCAGAAGTTTGCCATGTATATCTTTTGACATGATTTAAACTTATTTTCCTTTTTTTTAAAGGTGAAAAATTGTCTATCTTCTAATGGAGAGAACAAAGCTATAAGATATAATAGAACTTTATAAGATATGATAGAATTTTAGTGACCTTAGTTTCAGCGACCTTAGTTTTCTTCCTGCAACTTCTGATTTCTTTCTTGATTTTTATTGTGATTTGGGTGAAAGTTTATGTGTTGGATTGGGTTCTCTAGAGAAACACAAAAACCAGCAAAGTGTATATATATATATTTATAGAGAGAGAAAGAGAGAGAGAGAGAGATTTATCTTAGGTAAATGGCTCACAAGCGTGTAGAAGCCGACAAGTTCAAGC